GTCTTCATGTATGCCGCGAGCAAGGCAGCCAGGGTGCCTGAGTGCCCCTCGTAGTCATCAAAATCATGGCTTTCCAGACATCATTCGCGGGGGAAGTACCGACCCGACTGAAGGACCTTGCGTTGGCAGGCATCACCGCCCCTCTTGGCTGCCCAGGACTCATGGCGCCTTTGACTTCGTTGCGCGTGTCCGAATGCGATATTTGGGCTTCTATGGACAAATTGATGTGTACGCTATCCGATTTGCCCCATCTGGAGAACTTCAAGTGGACGCAGCTTATCTTGACACAATCACATACGTTTCTTATCCCTCCACTCCATGCGTCGACCGAGTTCAAGTCCAATTAAAGCTCATACATCTGGCACGTCTTCGGACTATATACGTTCGCACATGCGTGGAGTGCGTACCTCTTCACCCATATTTCATCCCCCATCTCGTGTAATGTGACGGTAGACACAGTTGGATAGCTCTACTCAGCTGCTAGGCGTAAGCGCTTACGGGATGGCCAACGGGACGGGACGGCGGGGGACGCAGGCTCAGAAGTCCGGCGTGATAGAAAAGAGATGGGAATAAACTCGCGCAACCTTGGTAATTCAACCGCGTGAATGAAGTGAGGCAGGGCACGGTAATACGAATATTCGACTTTTCGAATGTTCGGCCCCATAGGGGACCGTCATCCAGGGTAAGCATTGGAATATGAAGACGCAGCCCTTACCCAAGACAACCTGTTCCGAAGGGGTGTGTATACATCGACAGTGTTCGTAGTAGCTAGAGTACAGGCGGTGTATTGGCCGGGTCTGCCAATGATACATGATACTGGAACTATGATGTGGAAAGGGAGATTGAGCTTGATCTAAGATGAAGACAAGGTACAGTATAAGATATGGTATTGCGATTGACAAGGAGTGTCCCAAGACGAAGAAGTTCAGCAGCAGGAAAGTTCGTGAGGAGGCATAGAAGTCGTGATACATAACGTGTAGCATGGCGTGTGGCATGATGTGTGGCATGGCATGTGGCATAATGTTGATCATAATTATCCATAGATGCATAGCATATCCATACTCGCCGCGGTCGAGATGTGTGCCAGGGACAAGCGGGAACAGCGATTGGTCCGAACTGAAGACCCTCCGCCACCCAACTCACCGCTGCAAATGGGTGGCATACGATCAAGTGTTTCGACTAAACTCGGATAAGTCGCAATCACCATAGGAGACTAGACGAGCGTGCAACTTACCGCTTCCTAACAGGCTCCAAATCATTCTCGGTCGAATCATTCTCAGAACTCTTTCTCTTGACTCCGATGATCGCCGCAGGAAAGGACTTCTTATCTTCGTTTGGGATGTTCTTGAGATACCTCGGAAACGTTCCTATCATCTGCTCAAGTACCCACGTCAAGTCTTTAATTGCGTGACGCCAGTCCGCCAAGACCTCGATCGGCATGGGCTCGAGCGTCGCCCAATGGCCAAGTGTGAACAGCAGCTGTGTAACACCAGTTGGTCCATACTTGCGCAGCGGAAGCCAGATGAATTCCCCGTGGGCTTCAGGTTGCTCTAGCGGCCACGAGGTTGTATCACGCCACGAAGGTTGTAGCGAAAGATACCATTTGCGCCACGATTGCGAGAAAGAGACACTGTTCTTCTCCTTTGCTATTGGATGGTTCGGGTCCCGCCGCCTATTGTCCACCCATTCCTTGACTCCCATCGGTCGATTGCCAGTTGAAAGTCTGTATATCCTAGTCTAAACAGTTCCTAATGAGATAACCGGTAGTCACAGTCCGTGTCCCGACTCACATTTCCTTGCCGAAATCCGTTCTGCTTCTCAAAAGTCATCCAGACGTCAATGAGCTTATCCCAAGAAGACCGGTCGTCATCACCTGTGCGCGCAATGTCGAGACTGCGCAGGTTGTCGTAATCGCGTTGGAACGTTCCAATAGAGTTTTGGTCTGCGGGCAACACAATGCTTTCAGGGATAGTGTGAGCGGCGACCGGCGGCAGAGCAGGTTCTGTGGATTGAGGAGGCGATGGCGTCTCGTGCGTAGTCCTTCCTTTCTGCACGTTTCTCGCCGAAGCCGGGGAGCGTGGGGGCAGTGATGATGACCGTCGCGCGGGAAATGAGGCTGGCGTCTCGACGTCTTGCTCGGGCGGTTCAGGAGCGGGGGAGCCGTGGATGGCGACATTCATCGGCGCATCGGCGCAGCCGTTGCCACCACTCATCGCCTGCGCGTCAGAATTATGGTTCTCACCCCGCTTGTGTCCCTCCACATTGGCTTGTTCGCCATCTGCATGAGCGGTGACGGCCAGAGTTCTGGTATCTTGCGCGGAGAGCTCATGTTCGGGATAGTCGTGAGCGGCGTCGCTCATTAACGCATCGCCGGATCCGCTCATCGCGAGCTCGTCCAAGGCAAGAGATTTGACTTGTTCTTGTCCCTCCGCGATGACGCGCTTGCCGTCCGAGTGAGCGGTGACGGTCGGAGGATTGACGTTTTGCGCGGGAAGTGCAGTGCGGGGAGTGTTGTGAACGAACTTGCTTGCTACCTGCATGTCCGGATTGACGACTTGACCCTGCCCACGTCCCTGTGCATCGGCTAGCTCGCCGTTTGCCTCGCCGGCGGTGATCAGGGGCTTATTGTGATCTGAGGGAAGTGCAGTGCCGCTGCCACCGCTCATCGCCTGCTCGTCCGGACTGTGAATCTCGTCCCGCTTACGTCCCTCCACATTGCCTCGCTCGCCATCTGTATGAGGGGTGGTGGCCAAAATCCTGCTGCTTTGCGCAAGGCGCTCAGGTCCGGGATAGTCGTGAGCGGCGTCGCTCATTAACGCATCGCCGGATCCGCTCATCGCGAGCTCGTCCAAGGCAAGAGATTTGACTTGTTCTTGTCCCTCCGCGATGACGCGCTTGCCGTCCGAGTGAGCGGTGACGGTCGGAGGATCGACGTTTTGCGCGGGAAGTGCAGTGCCAGGAGTGTTGTGAACGAACTTGCTTGCTACCTGCATGTCCGGATTGACGACCTCGCTCCGCTCACGTCCCTCTAGCTCGGCTAAGCGACCGTCTGCCTGAGCGGTAGCGGCTGGAGGGTTGATATGTTCCGCGGGGAGCGCAGCACCACTGCCGCCGCTCGTCGCCTGCATGTCCGGATTGACGACTTCGCCCTGCCCACGTCCCTCTGCATCGGCTAGCTCGCCATCTGCCTGGCCGTTGGTGACTAGAGGCTTGAAGTCGCATGCAGTTCTAGCGTCGGCGAACCTACGACCGACGTCGCCGATCTGTCCGTCAACCAGCCCACTGATCGCGAGCCCTTCCAGATCTAGAGCTTCGACCGGCTCCTGCCCCTCCATAACGTCTTGCTCGCTCTCTGCCTGAGTGGTTGTCTATACGATGAGTTCAACGTCTGGGTCACAGACTTGAGCTAGTGGACTGACCCCTGCGACATTAGTGGATGCACCCCTTTCGCTAGATAGTCAATACAAAGGCTAGTTTGGCAAGAACAATGCGGCTTACTGTACAACGGTGGTTAGTTGTGGGACGGGGACAGCCGACTCATTCGGCAAGATTTCCTCCTCGGCAACATCATCCTGCCGTTTGGCTACAACATTCCGGGTGTTGGCAGTCGGTGTGAGAGTATGCGACAAAGAACGGGGAGGGGGCGAAATGTCACGCTCATGCCGAGTTTCCACGGTTGGTGGCAATCCGGAGTCCGAATCCTCGTCTTCTCCCTGAGGAAGATGGTCAATAACACCAAATGTAAAGCCCAGTGAACGTTGTGGAGCATCGGGAAACAGCGCATATTGTCTCTGTACACCGGACGCTGTGTGGTGACACCGTCAATGTCGGACAGGAAGATCAAGTCTAAACCACTCACGAAAGACGTCGGACTCTAGAAACCGCTTGAAACGCTCCTGGATATCGCTATCGACGAAGTGCTTAGAGGACAGGAACTTTTGGCCACCGGGATGCTGGGTCGAATATCTAATCCATGATATGAGCATCAGCAGCGCGTCTATCTGATGGAGGCAGTCCATCTCACGCATCTTGCCACAATCCCCCGTTGTTCATGATGTCGCAGCCGCCGATTAGGAGTGTACATGACAGTCCAGTATGCTTGAAGAGCGCGTTAACTATGGCCTGGCAGGATGCCCTGAGCACTTGTTGATTACTATAATGCACGCGTCAACGACTCGGCCAGGTATGTAAATGTATCAGACGTACTCAGCGAACTCCACCAATTCCTGAAGATGAACGCGGGTCTCGAAAGGGACAGCATCGTCGCTGATATCCTCTGTTTTGGCATCCTTATACGCGGCCACCATGGACTGTTTAGTCCGAGGCATTTGGTTGGCGAGCTCCATCGCCGCGAACTGGTGGTTGAATTGAGCGCGAGCGACGGCGAGATCGGTGCCTTCGGGAAGTAGAGGACTAAATACCGCCCAATTTTGGTCGGCGCGCTCCTTCAAACCCTTCTCCAAGTTCTCCAGGTAGTATGCATCATACTGAGCATGCTTCTTCTTCTTCGTGGTGAACATCTCTGTGACCTTCTTCATATCTTCCAGAGTCGTGGGCTTCTCCTTCTTGATGCGTCGTCTCGCTTTGGGCACTGGCTTGCGCTCTTCTTCATCGTCGTCGGGATCCGGCACGGATACCTTTTGCGGACGTCGATCGAGGCGTCCTTGGTTGCCGAACCAGTTGCGAATCTTCTGTGAGGAGTTAGTCCGAAGAACCTCCTCAGTGCTTGGTGCTCGGTATGCACCTTGCGGAATGGCGTGTCGCCCGGGTACGTGACGTCCACGCCAGGGTACTTCTTAACCAACTCCTTGCAGAACTCCCTGCAGAACTCCTCCGTTTTCTTCTTCTCCTTCATCGCGCGGTATCTGGGAATAGCGTCCACGCATTCGTTCCACAGACGCGGCGAAAGCTTTCCAGAGCCCATTTAAAGATATGAGGTATCGCGGCGGGGTAGTGGGGGTGTGGGTGGTTAGGAGCAAGTGTCGGGGTGCAACACTGCCGTGTTCGGCCAGTCAAGTTGTTGTTGACCGCATTTGCCGAGATGAAATCAAGAATTCAATGATACGTTCGCGACAACTTCGCCGCATCTGTACCCACGAGTCAGAGGATAGTTGTTCCGCCAAGTCAAACAGTCTGTGTGATGGGGGCCACTGCCTGAGTTCACCTGTGCGCCCACCGCAGTCATGAACGCAGGCTAGAACGCCCCTGGGCGTCCGGACCATTCGGCCGACTGATGGCCCGACATACAACTTCCATCGCCATATATCCTAGCCTTTGTCATTTACTAGAGCGCTGGACTCCGTCAGCAGGTACCTAGCTTGTTCCATTTCTCTATATTGTTTGAGTCGCGCGCGGCACTCATATTCTAAACAGACTTCAAGGATATCCAGTTCGTCGCGTGAATGCGCTGAGCCCGGTGTTGGTGCTTGCGCGGCCCCCGCGAACGGTACTGGCAAGCATGTCGACTCGACCAGGCTTGCGCTGGAGACCGCACCCCCACCCAGTTTGAGCTATGCAAGACTCGCCATGTATTTAATGTAGCGTTGACTTGTTTCCTGTTGTTTCCTGTACGAAAGGCTTGCTCGACGTTGGCTCGACGCCGTGGTTTGTTGAGAACGAGACCGGATCAATTCTTGCGTCATCCCCCGTCGCGGCGCGGCAAACCCCAGTTGAGGGCAGGAAACCTAGCCAAGCTAGGTAATTGACTGTAGACGACTCGGACCCGGAGAATAGTGTACACCTTAGGATGTATGCAACATATGTATCTAGCGAGAATCTCTACGTCTATCAACATACGGAAGATATTCGACCGATGCGAGCCGAAGTACGAGGGCGCAGGGATGTGCCAATACAATCAGACCGGGTAAGCCGGTGTTCTCATGCAGGAGGATGTATAGCGCCATACACGGCCATTCACATCGCTTTCACCCAGCTCCCGGTAGAGTACGAAAGGGGCTTCAAGTGTACACTAAGAAAATCCCGCGGCGTTGCGACATGCAAGATATATTGATTATGGTGTGCGTACAGGGCGACGAACGGATCAGGAGGAAATCAAACGACGCGTGGAATCGCTTGAGCGCCCAATCTCGGCGGAAATACTGCCGTCGCAACTGTGGAGGCAATCTACAGCTTTGCCTTCACGCAAAGGTTTGCCTCGTGATCCCACTTCTGAACCTGCTTGTAATCTTCACGCGTGCTTGAGCACCCTGAAATATCGCGCGACCATATGCGCTCACATCCCTCGCCGTCGGTAACACCTTCACCCGGTGCGTTTGCCCAGTCGGACCGGGAGTATGATTGGACCTTGTGAGCATAGACATGGAAGTTCGGGATGCTGCTCTTCAACAAATTGGGGCAACAGATGTCGTATGATAGGACGCTGATGGTTTGTAGCTGTCGTAGGGCGACAACAATGGTATAATCCATGACAGAGAAACGTTCTCCGCTATGAATGATCGCCAGTTCAGCGCCGGGAGGTGGGCGAAGGACTAAGGGAGGACTCACGGAACGAGCTTGGGCATACCGGACGGGCGACAGAGGGCATGAATCGCGTTGCCTCGAGTAGCTCCGCATTCGATGTGCAGTAGCGCACTTGCGCTTGACTGGGCGTCTGTGACTTTACCCATGTCGTCTCGAGCGCCATCGCCTAAGCGAGATAAATTGTAGTTCCCGTTTATAAATAGGAAGCACTGACTGGCACGGGGGAGAATAGAGGCGTCTTGTTCAGGACCAGGCAAGCAAAGCATCGTCTGAAAGGGTTGAGTGGTCGCGAAAGGATACAAGAGCGCAGATGGGAGTCCTGTGCATGAAGCTGTATATGAATGTATCTCCCCCTCCAAGAGGAGGTTGGCGACAGCTCATATCAATGCACAGACATGCAGTGTAGGTGTTAGCCGACACGATGCCGTCCGAAGACGTCTCGGAAATGCAAAGCCGCGTCGCCGACGCCGTGCTGGCCGCGCGACCGGTTGATGCGAGCGCAGCGAGCAAACATGATAATCGCAGGAAGTGCCAGTCATTGTTCAGCCGTGAGCGGAGAACAATGAGTTCAGCACGACTGGTGGCAAAGAGGCCTCACGGAGCTACTGCATAGAACATGAACCACGGCGCGATGCGGTTATTGCCTCTAACCATACTGACACCCTGGCAGATTGGTGAGACTACTTTCGCCCCTCCTAACATGGACAGAGTAGGCAATGTAACTCAACGAGCACAGGCTCGCGATGGAATGTTCCTGGTCCCAGTCTCAGACTGAGCGTGTATAGTGAGAGGAGGGAGAGATCTCTGATCGATCATAGATGAGCAAGGACGCCCCCGGCGAATGCCGAATTATCCCACGCCATGCATTTGCCGCCGACACATCTTTCTGTCCTTGCACCTCCCACTCCTGTCTTCACAGACTATGCTTCTCCTCCTTGTTACCTGAGCTCTTGTCATGACGTCTTGCTCTGATCATCCTGGGACATTGGCAACGAGTATCGTCGCTTCGCCACTACACTTTACACTTTGGCGCCCTGGAACACCGCGACCGTTTTCACGCCAGATCTTCGGACCCTCATGCAGCTTCTGCCTTTCGTTGGAGCACCAGCGCGTTCAACACACCAATTACTCAGCATCCCCATACACTTCTCTATACAGTCATGGAACTACGTGGACATGTGCTGATATTCAGACAACGTCCTTGCGCTCTCCGCCCCAAATCAGCAGCGATCCGTGAAGTCGTGACTGCGAGCGCTCTACCCACAGCATGCTTCACCACGGAGCTCTTCAAACCCGCGCGTATCGAGGACCTGTGGAGTCGTACGGCGCTACTGTGGCTAGACGTTTTGTGCCATACTGGGCCTGTCCCGCGCTCTCTCATCCCAGTTGCTCTGCCAGTGCTTCTGTTCGGCTGTGGCACCCGTATAACTTGGGCATCGACAACAAACTCCAGCGCGAGCGGATGGGCCACTGAGGCTTGTATGGTGGAGACAGCTTCATACGTGGTCGTGTTTGGGCGGCGCGACTTCACGAACCTCGTCGACGTGATGGCACTGAAACGATCGTACTTGTGCGTACGCTTGCCCCCCTCGGTCTCCCCACCCACCCAAGACCGGTCGTGCTTTGGAAGGCACAACGGTGCGTGCCAAAGGTAGCGGTCAACCTGTGACGAAACCGAACACGAGGGAAAATTGGCTACCAAATATATCAAGAGGACGGAGTTGGTAGCAGAGGGGCGGAGAAGGAACGCTAGAGATGAAGGGTTGAGAAGAGGCCGTTTTGGTCTTCATGAGTCACTGCGGGAACCCGGACAGCATAGATGCTGTCACCACGCTCGAGGGGTACACTGCAAAGTTGGCATAGGCAGAGAGTGGCAAGGCGATGCACGGTGTGCAGCGTCCCCGCTGCAGATCGAAACCGCACTTCATCCTCGCCAATGCGATGTCTGTATGCGCAGTATGGCCCACAAGAGAATGCTGTTCTTATCTGTGCTGTCGGTGACTACAGGTAAGCCGGAGCAAGGCTATAAACAACCGGGGGCAACCGAGCGCGCCAGGGGTCCAGAGCCTGTAAGCTTGCTGTGAAGCGCTTCATGTACATTACTTCCTATCGCTATGTCGTACCGCTTTATACTTAGCAGGGTTTTTTCCTACGGGACGATCAGTGATGGTGCAGGGCTTTTGTGAGACATAGCAGCAGCCCTGGGGGCCAAGCTAATGAGGAGGCGAGCGAAGCTCCCCGAAGTGATGGAAGGAATGTGAAAGCAATGAGCGACGCAGCTGCGCGTCCTTAGGCTTGCCGCGGCCGAGCCGCGCCTAGTACACGGTGTCGAGCTTCCCTAACATGTAACAACGGTTGAATCGTCTTGATACTTCTAACATACATCGATTGTGAGGCTGTGGTAGGTATGGTACTTACGCAGATCCTATATAATACGTGGCTGGGACTATGTAAGGACTGGGCTCCAATAACTCGTTTCGAACCAGATCACACAGCAGAATACAAGCAGAGCGTGAACGTACCTATGTAGAGTAGTTAGTACAGTGTAGCGCCCAGACCGCGCCGGTCGGTCTCGTCTTAGCGTCGTGTTCTTGCCGTGGTTTCTCTCGCCGCCGCGAACTTGCGGTCTCGTGCTCTGATAGCACTCAGACCGGGAAGCCGCTTGACTACCCTCTGCATCTTTCATACTATTCACGATCAAAGCAGCGTAATGGGGTAGCATACCAACATTCACAGTGGACAACTACTCAGGTATGCCAAAATCCTCGTAGAAATCCTCGGGGAGAAAGCTATGCAAAGGCACGATCCATTAGGCACTGTCAATCTCACAGCCATACTGACTCGTACCGATTGCCTTCCAGTATGAGATAGTCTTCCACGAGCGCCGCGTAAAGTGCCCGCAGGTTTTGCAAGATCAAGAAGTGAAGCTGGAGAAACCCAGCAGCGGTATGATAGAACGAGTGAACGAGAGGGTGATCGCGAGGTTTGCCGCGTGCCTGAAGCTCTAAGCCTACAGTAAGGTCATCGTGGGCGCGCGCATACAGGAAAGCAATGAAGGGTTGAAGGCGTTTATCTGTAGGGTCGTTCATGAGGTGTTGGTATGCGTCGGCGTCACCCTCGGGGAGGCCATCGATTAGACGCTCAAGATATGAGAGAACTACGCGCATTGCTTCTGCGGAACGGGCCCGAACAATGTCGCTGGCGCGCGGATCTTGCTGGGCGGGGAAAGTCCCGTATCTAGGAACTTGGACGTGTACCCTAAATCAAGAGGGGTAAGTACGTCTGTAGCGGATTGCGTGAGCCTCTCCCTGACAAATTCTTCGGCCAAGTTCCACTCTCCAAAGGTGGAGGCAGCTTGGACCAAGCGTGAAAGACATTGCCGCCCTTGACCTGTATAGCACGTCAGACCTGATAGGTATCGCTTCATTTCTATCGAAGCACCGACGTCAAAAGTCGCCATGTTCTCTTGCGGGGGCGTGTCCAGTACTGGGTGAATGTCAA